CACACCACAAATGCACACGTGGTGAGGGCTACAGCGAGGTGCTTAAGTGCCAGTAATTACTATTTCAATTAAAACTGGAATCAGTAAGCCTTACCTGATGGTTTTAGGCTTTTTAAATATACAATTTGGTTAAGTTTTGTGGGGCTTTTTCCTCCAAAATGCTCCACACACTCAGGCTACACCCACACTAGCGGGTTTTCATTTTGAAATACATAGTTTCTGCTATGTTTGTGCCTTGCATTGACACTATCGTGGCCTTTTAGCATGTCTAAAACTGAGAATTTTGGAAACACTGCTGACCACGTTTCAGTTTAGAAATTTTGAGGTTATGATTCAGGCAGAAACAGAGAGAGACTTTTGGAAAAGATGACACAGACACCCACATCTGCGTTTCGATTGGGCCTCAGCATCATAATGTGTCATTCCTTGCTTCACCTATCACATGACAGTTTTCCTGAAGAAAACTAAGATAATGGACTTAAGGTAGTGTCTACCTCATTTGCTCTGCTAACAGCTGTTCTGCAGTTGAGAAAATCTCTGGTACTACTTTTCATTAATGTAGTTTTCCTCTGTAGGATCTCCAACAATTAAGCAACGAAGCCCCTGCGTCATGTTTACACCAGCACCAGGCATCCGAGTATGCGCAATTCATTTCAAAATTTGTTTTTAAAATAAAAAGATTTTAGTGTGGATGTAGCCTCGGAGCCCCTGAACTACCCAACATAACGACTGGTGGAGCATTTTAAAGATGGAGGAAGCTTCGAATTGTGTCAACTCTGACGTGCAGCCACAAATTTCTTTGTTGGTCTGGTAAGAAACTCGCAACACTTTCGCATCACACTGCAGTTTCCAGAACGATTTGTGGCTTTGCAGTATTGTTTATATCAACATCCAAGCCTAAGTGATTTTGGAAGAACTTTTTACATTGACTGCACCAGTGTGCCAAATTTTTTCTATTTAGGTGATTCCAAAATGTTTCCCCGCACTTTGCCGCAATAATAAGCAGAACTAATGGGATTCTACATGGTGTTGTTATGAATAGGATTCTGTGACACACTGATCTCTCAGCAGCTAATGATACAGAAAAACCACCGTGCAATAAGCTGCCTGACCCAGCTCTTCTTTCACGAGAGAATAGTACAGAAAGGATGAGAATGTGCAGCAATGGTGGGTGTAGAGTTAGCAGCAGACATTACTGGTGGACAGACTACTCAGCAGTGCATTCATATTTAAAAGAGATGACTGGCCTTCCCCTTCCAAATGAACCAATCTGCTGATCCCTGAACAAAAGTGACCTGACAACCCACATGATTTTGCTCAGACAGGGTATCAACTGTGTTTACAGCTGGCATATCAGATGAGATGGGATAATACTGGGTGACAGCAGGAGCACTGCAGGTCAGCAATCAAAAGTAAACACTATTACCATGGTGGAATAACACCAACAAAGTGCATAAAAAGACATTAAAACATCCAAAAAGACAGTATTTATAAGTAACTATTGCCTCCAATAAGACGCATATGACTCAGTTCAACCTGCGTATCAAATGTCACTCATATACACAAGACTCTGTTTTTTTGTAGAATATCACAAGACTAAACAAAATACCAAACGACAATGAGGCAATCTTATAAGTCAGCAATAAATTACGAAAACATCTGTGAGTCAAAGCACAGTCTACAAGCAGATATGCGATGTTTTGCGGCGGGAGGAAAACTAAAGAAATAACACTACATACACCCAGAGACAGACCTGGTAAATGTCACTGATGCAACCAGTGAATATTTAATCACACTTGACAGATTTTTGTTTGCACTCCGGAGTCCTGATCTTTTTGGACACACACTTGAATTTTGCAGACTTGTAATTCAAGCTGGCACATGTGTTTCACCTTGAAAGACTTCCATACACACAAAGAAAATGTTATTCAAGGGCGCCCGTATAGCTCACCTGGTAGCGCGGGTGACCCATGAACAGGGGCTACAGTCCCCGACGCAGCGGTTGTGAGTTCGAATCCCGCTCATGACCCTTTGCTGCAGGTCTCTCCCTCACTCTTCTCCCCCCTTTCCTGTCTCTCTCCACTGCGCTAAATAAAGGCAAAAGCCCCCAAAAAATATATTTTTTAAAAAAAGAAAATGTTATTCATAAGATTTGACAATCACTTCTTGACAGATGAGACGCCACCTGCAAGACCTCCATCCACCTCAGGCACCTGAGACTGTCGCAGCTGCTGCTCTGTGGCCTCGACACAGTGTCCTGTATTCTGACAAAAATGCCATCTGTGAAACCCAGCTGATCACACTGATGTGTGTCTGTTTCTGTTGTCGTGTCTTGAAGATATTTAAATGTATCAGCATCTGGACAGTTTTCCCTGCAATTTAGTCCACCAGCAAAGAAACGTTCAGTCATATAGATACGAGGCATCAGTCTGGATGATTATCAGTTTGATAACCGACACTATTATTATTATTATTATTGGTATTTTTGAATTGATTTCTTATCAAATAAATGTGTTTCTTTAAATTTAAATGGTTGCATGTCATAAGTAAGAGTCAATCAAGATAAGTCTTAAAAAGTTGTCTTTCATTTTAACATAAAAATATAAATGAGGACATTTCAATGAAGTGTAGTGTTGCAATTTGTGTTTTCTGAATTTTGACATGTAGACCTAAATTTTTCATTTGATTTCATTAGTCAGTGCTGGCCCTGAAATTCCATATTATTCTATCACTAATACATACAGACAGTGTGTATGGACTTAAATATACTTCCTTCTTCCTTTTCATGCTGAGACACTCATTTGTTCTTATTGTTTTCCTTTTTTGTCTCTGAATTATTGTCCACAAAAAAGACAATGAAAGGATTTGCAAAAAAAAGAAATAAATAAAAAACGAGGCTCTATGTATGATGCAAGTGCCAGAAAGGTAAACTGAGTGTGTTACGTCAGTTGAGGTAATTACAGGCTGCACCACAACACAGGTGGAGAAACCTGTAAATGAAGAGAAGCAGCGGGGGGGCAAAGATGATGTGGTAACACTTTTTTTTGTTGAAGATGTACAATGACATAGCGATAGGATGAAAAATTATATGGAAGGAAACGTTAGACACATTTTTGGTCTACTGTACAGCCGATCGTCCTCAAAAAATTAGCAGCTATGCAACGAAAGAAACTAGTGAAGGAGGCCACCAAGACACCTATGACTTCTCCTGAATAACATCCATCCATCCATCCATTATCTATACACCGCTTAATCCTCACTAGGGTCGAGGGGAGCTGGAGCCTATCCCAGCTGACTCAGGGTGAAGGCAGGGGACACCCTGGACAGGTCACCAGTCTATCACAGGGCTACACTTAGAGACAGACAACCAAGCACACTCACATTCACACCTACGGACAATTTAGAATCATCAATTAACCTCAATATGTTTTTTGAACTGTGTGGGAGGAAGCCAGAGAACCCGGAGAGAACCCACGCTGCACGGGGAGAACATGCAAACTCCACGCAGAAAGATCCCGGGTGTCCTCACCAGGACGCGAACCGGCGACCTTCTTGCTGCGAGGCAACAGTGCTAACCACCAAGTCACCTTGCAGCCCCCAAATAAGATAAAAATGTAAAATAAAAAGCTAGAAAACTTTTACACTAATTTAAAAGGGCGCTGTGTCAGATTCAATTGGCACAAAAGCCTCAAGCACAAGAGACATTTCCAAACACTATGAAATGACAAGGCAAAACAGTGACTTGACTCAATTACACATATATGAAATCAAGTCAAGTGGCTACACTACACAACAGTGTTATTTATGGTGTGATTTTAACTGAGTCATTTACATAATAGGGATTAAAACCACACAAAAATCTAGATAGACGGATAGACTATTGTGTTGTGTTCTTGTCTTACTGCTATTAGAATTTAAGTGTGTCTGCACGTACTGTTTGTGTCTTAACACCCTTGAAAATAAGGGTTGTCCCTCAATGAATGGATGAACACAAAGCTACAGATAGTTACTATTTTCACTGTGGATTAATCTGCTACTCATCTCCAAAGGAAGTGGAACAATGAAATGCATGGCACTTTGGCATGATTTAAACAACTATATTTGTCTTATCTTTCGTGTAATAACCTTTTTTTCATTGGGATCCAATCAAGACAAAGGATGTCGATGACAAATTTTGCTTGCTTAAGCTTGGGAAAACCTTTAAGACTCGCTAAAACCAACACAGACTGAACAAACCAACAAATGAAGATTGTTTCCACCAACTTGCACAGACGGTTTGAGTCTGGCAGTCGAGAGAGAACATAAGCCATGGGAAGTAACAACATGTTCTCGCACCAAAAACAAACATGGAGGACCACCAGCCGCTCGCACTGTTTATATGGAGCACAACTTGGCCTGAAAAACCAGAAATAGGATGGGACAAAGCACAGAGGGTTTGGCGGAGATCCTGGATGGAGAGGCATGAGCGAAGAGGACTGCAAGGCTTACAGAGGAAACTCAAAATTATCAACATAAATACCAAACATACACCCCAACTGACTGGTATCAGCTCAACAGACATAATATTTACTCCATGTTAAGGTGTCAGCTTGTTACTTCCAGCCTTGAGCAGTAATCACCTCATGTGTAACAACATCATTCTCGTCCCAGTAGCATTTACTGGCTGTACAGGATGACACACCTTTGCCAGTGTTGTTGCAGTTCCTGCAGCTGCCGCCAGATGTTACCAAAGAGCCGAACGTTTTCACACATCAATCAGGTGAGTAATTAGCAGCACCTGATCGAGTGAATGTCTCGTAAACCTGAGGGTTCAGGTGTGGCCCATTCAAGTGTGCAGCTTTTCATTCAAACACTGACTCCACCCAGCAGAGACCCGTTCAGGTGGAAAACTGGAATGAAAATCTGCAAACTGTTGATTTATTAACCTTAGATAGTGGTTTGTTAAATGTGAAACTTCTCATTCAATCTCTGCCACCCTTTCATCCGTGTTACTTCTTTACCTTGAGCGATGGCGATGGACTCGAAACTCTGCAGCTCCGCCAGTAAACACGTCCTCTCCTTGGGCTGCAGCCGGTAGATGAACTCTTTGGCCCTCTTGGGGGAGTTGAGCGGCTCCCTCGGCTCGTTCCTCCCGTGTGTCCCCATGCAGCAGCTCGGCGTGTGTCGCCCCGTCCCCGGCAGCCTCGGAGGCGCTGCTCCCGCCGCCACCACCACCACCGCCGGCGGGGGTAACTTGTGTACAGCCGGCCGGAGAGCTCTCTGGAGGCAAAGCTTCAGCATAGTGGCGGAGTAAATAACTAGTCCAGTCTTCAGGCTAAATTTTCTTAAGGGTTTTGTTTTTTTTCCTTAGCCCAGACCTCCGTCTCCGCGTGCCCGCTCCACCAACGTCTGCGCTCGGGCAGAAGTTGTCCGTCGCTCGGTCCTCCTCGCTGGATTCAGTGGGAAACGAATCGACGACTTTTGACGAGCGTCTCTCTAAAACTCGGATTAGTTTCGAAGCAGTCGTTCAGACCCTCTGTCCGCGCTGCCCGCCGCCCAAACATTATCCTCTGACACTCGGCGGTCAGGAGTTAGTCTCATGAACTTCAGGCTGAAGAACAAGAAGTAACCGGAGTCAAGTGTCCGCCATTAAACAGCCCATATCCGGCGGCGACTTTCAAAATAAGACACACAAGTTCTGGTTGGACCTTTCATACTAAAGCCATTAATAATAATGTTTTTTTAAAACATGAAAACTATAAATATATACAGTATCGATAAAACGTTTTCCTTTGAAGATTTCCCTTTTCACTGCTTTTCCACATGAAACCATTGGCAATTCAAATTGCAACTCATATTGCATCATCAATTATTATGTATGCATTAATGTGTATAAATGTGTCGTCACTGTTTCAACGTCACGCATACTTTGAATAATTTCTAACAATTGCTTTTAATTGTTTCTATTGCTTTATTTGTTTGTGTAATAGTTCTAACATCTTACAGCACTGATTTGTTTTAATTTATTTTAGTGTTTTTTTTGTTTGTTTTTTTTTAAATCTAATACAGTCATGTATTCTTATTTTACTGCTACTTGAAGTTTGTCTGCATGTATCATATGTTCCTTGACATCCTAGAAAATAAGGGTTGTCCCTCGATGAATAGTTCAATATAAAGCTAATAAAAACAGATTATTATTTTCATGGTGGACTAATCTAATTTCAATAAATCAATCTTAAAAAATGTAAGGGGTGGAACCATGAAAAGCATGGCACATTGGCATGCATTAAACATATTTTCTGTCAATCTGTTGATCAACAAATTATTGTATTATTTTTCTAATTTCATGTGGTGCTGGGAAATGTCAGTTTTTCATAAATTTGTTAAACTTTGTATTTCATGAAGTGGCAAGAAAAAATGTGCAATTCAACAAAATGGTGAAACAGTACCATCTACTGGTTTAATGAGCTACTTAAAGTGCACTTTCATGTCAGATGTATTATCACTGCAATTTAATCTTTCCGTGGATTTCTAACTAGTGCATACACTGAATATTATGTGTATTAATGGATACTTGAAGACGCCATTTCAAGGTGCAGTTGGTGAGATTTGAGATACAGTCCAAGCGCAATATCAAAGATGATTTTATTTACATAAATCTCTTTTTAAAACAAAAGGCAAAATGAACAGCTTTTACCTTTTAAAAAGCTTCCAGAACAATCAAACTCATAATCAATGTCCTTCATAGCTGAAACATGTCAAAAAGCACAGCTTTCTCATCATATTCGACGCCCAACACTTTCTCATCGTCAAGAAGAACTTTACGGATTCGTTGCAGCTTATTTTCTGCCACCAGTAATTACAACAGTAATGAGCATGAGTTTGAAGGCAAACCCTTAAAACGTTCAGGCTGTGGAAGTCTAAACAACAGAATACTCAGTGAAGTTATGCTTGAATGCGCTTTTTAAAAAATACTAATTTACAATGAGGGTAGTAGTGACTGAGGGATCCGTGCTGGCTGAAAAAAAAAAGGGGGGGGAACATGACTCCTAAGTGTTTCCTGGGGCTTCGTTTTGTGCCAGTGGTTTGACATTTTGGATTAACGGGACATCTACTTCTGGAGAACTGCTTCTTGTAGCTCAAAATGACGACAAATATCACAGATTACAGGAAACGACAGTTTTAGGAAATGGTTTCTCGGAGGTTGTTCCAGATATTTTTCATCTTAAGTCATCTTCCAGCCCTGCAGCGGGACCCTGAGACTAGAAACACAGTTTGAGCCTTTGAAAAAGTGCAGTCGTCATAGTTTGATGCCCAAGTTGGACACGATGAGAAATCTCTTCTGTACCAGTGATTAGAAACAAAAAAGGTGCATTTACTGAACAATATGGCATCTATCTATCACCATCTTGCAAAAAATAACCGACAAACGTACTTTTTTCTTCATTTTCAAGAAATCCAAGCAGATAACACAACTGGCACCTTTCATACTGTATTTTTCTGACATTTACTGCATTAAGAAATAATCATTTTATCCAATACATATTTGCATTTTTTTGTTTTTTTGGAATACAGCTCTTCAAATGCGGCTTACGCTACGCCTCCATATCAGCATTCTTTTTTACAAACAACCATTTGTGGGTTCGAAACGAGTACTTAACCAAACTAAACACTGATTTCTGTGAAGAGAAATGTGGAAATTAGCATTGTCGGAAAAAGAAAATCATATGAAAACTCTTAATCTGAAGGGACAAAGTGTGCATGTGTTTGTTTCATTATATGTACAACAACGTACACAAAATGTAAGCGAGGTCACACAAGAGACCAGTAGTAAGTAATGACAAGAGGTATATCAGTGATTACAGTAGCAAGTCACTTTTTTTTTTTTTTTTTTGAAATCAGACACACCTCTCTGCAGAGAAAGCTGCTTAACTCTCCTGCCTTCATTCTCTCTCTGGACTAGTTCAGTTTGCATTTTTTAAGGACAAAAGTGTTGTGCGAGCATACCACAAACATGAATCGTCGCCGATCTGCAAGTCAGAGGCTGGTTTACGAGTGTAATTGATGTTTTGAATGCACAAAAAAAAAATCATTGTGAAGCAAAGAAACCAACCGTCCAATACAATAAACGTCACCGACATGACAAAGAAAGTTATCTTGATAAAGACCAATCATTTTTGGCAAAATTGGGGGGGGAAAAAAACAGCTGGAGCAAGTAGTGACAGGTTTCAAAAGTTAGCTTCCAACAATTTCTGTACTCCAAACTCACAAATCTTGCAGACTGACAGATGAATCAGTTGATTTTATCGCTCCACAGTTGTGCCATTATTAAACACTCCAGCTTCTTTCCCTACAAACGCCATGCGAAGGAACATGAACCGCATCTTTAAGACATCGTCTGAGAACATTTCATGTCGGCAGGCACACACACACTATCCTTATACGCACACAAATACACATTAGGGCTGCATAAGTGACAAAATCTAAAGAAAGAGGAAAAGAAAGTGTGGCTTCCTTTTATGTTGTTCTACTCAGAAGGAGAAAAAGTTTCTACCAGACAGAATCTCCAAGATTCTGCTGCAGAAAATTTGGATATTTTACTTGAACTTAATGATGTGTAACGAGTTTGAGGCATCGGGAAATTAATGCTATGGAGACAGCCGTGGCCACGTAGCAAGATTTATATCAGGATCTCCAATAGTTTGTGGGGAAAAAAAAAAGAGCAATATGAGTTTTTGGTCTACAATACGCAGCCCCAGCACACACACACTCGGCACACACACAGAATGAGAGCAGCAGTTACTCTTTCCACGAGCCCTTATAGAGTAAAACTCAAAATCAAACAAGAAGAAACTAACAAGTAAATAAGAGAATGACATCCCTGACATTTTTCAAGAACAAATTAAGATGCTGAAATTGTGTTTTTCATAAATCTTTTTAACTTAAATATAATAAAGATATATGTATATTTTTCTCTATAGATCTTCTCTTGTCAGTCCTCAGTAGAGTCTGTGTCGTCATTGATATAGTCTTCTTCTATTGGCGTGTTGCCATTCTGAGTCCCCCACTCGTCTTCATCGTACTCTATGCTGTCATTGTCCTCCAGCAGGTCGTTATCGAGCTCTGCCACTCCTCCTGCAGCCTGAGCTCCAGCCGCCGCTCCATCGGCCAGCAGCTCTGCGGCTGGTTGTCCATTCTGGTCGTCCCCCGGTGCCGGTGGGCCAGCGGCAGCGGCGTCCTGCGGCGCTGCGTAGCCCCCGTTGTTGTTGGAAAAGGCGGCTCTGTCTCGGCTCTCCTCCTCGACGTAAACTCTCTGGTGGCACATGGGGCATGTGTCCTGGATGTAGAGCCACTTCCTCAGGCACAGCGCGTGGAAATAGTGGTGGCAGGGCGTGATGCGGGCCGAGGTGGCGAACTCCTGGTAACAGATGGCGCACACATCCTCGATGTCCCTTAGTTGGTCACCGCGCACCTCAGGCAGCGAGTTGATCTTCTTGACGGCCGTGCGGCGGTTGATGAAGGTCTTCCAGCCGTTCTTGGCCTGCAGGTAGATGTTGAAATAGGCGTGCAGGCACATCATGCAGGCACGGATCTTGCTGCCCGACTCAAACATCATGGTGTAGGCGCCGTTTCCGAACATGATGACGCCGAAAAGAAACTCGATGATGTTGCCTGTGGAGCGCACGTAGTAGACGTAGTCGTCCAGCTTCTCCCACAGGACGTTGGAGAATCCATCAGCCATGAAGAGACCGTAGACCGTCAGAGACACAACCACCTGGAGTGAAGGAAGGAGACAAGTGAGCCAGCTTTAATATGTAACAATAATAATAATAATAATAATACATAATACTTACATTAGTTTTACAAAAAGACAAATAAATAAAATTGTAACGTGTAGAGACAGAAAGCGATTATGGGTCAAAACTGCACTACCAACCTGCAAAACTAAGGCTGAATTATGACCCTAGACAGACCATTTTGAAAATGGAAAAGTCACCAGCAAAAGCTTTTTAAGAACCCCTAAGCAAAATTGAGAAACTGTACTTGACAACAGACTCTTCTGTTATCTGATGTACTTATTCATCACTTCAAAGACTCAGTGACTGAACCAGACACAGGCCATAAGTCTAAGTCTGAGAATATAACTCTCCACTGAAGCCCAGGTCAAAAATCTGATCCCCAAAACCTGCTAGCCGGCTTGAAAAGTAAGTTATCTTAAAAATATATATAAACACTATTCACCATTTATTTGCCAAAAACTGTAAAAACAGAAACAATCATTGGATTTTCAACTTCCTAATGATCCTCGAACAAACTACATGTAAAGTGCTTCTAAGCTTACAATGTTGATATTTCAAAATCACTTAATTCAACATGTCTCATTTAAACATTTACTACAAGTAAAGCCTTTACCCCAGAAAAAAACCTGTGACTCACAGTCATGTGACAAAAATTCAGGGACTCTTCAACTAAACTGCCGTTTGTGTTTACACAGAGCAAAGAGGACACAAGTATGAAAACAAATGAAAGCGCTTGAGAGGAAAATAAAACATACTTGAGCAATACAATAAGCGTAGTAAACAGACGAGCAAACTGTCGGCGAGTTTTTGGAAGACACATCAGAATGTGAAATATCTTTTCTGGGGTTGACGTGACTAGTGTGAAAAACTGCTAGTTTGCAGGGGTTGTAAAAATGTAGGAACAAAATATATTTTCTGCAACCATCATTTTTTCCCACTTGAAAAAATGTCGTACACAGTGATTCCAGTTTTCTTTAATCGTTGCGCAGTAAGTAATAAAAAACAAGTTTTCTTTTCTTTTTTTATGATTTATGGCATTATAACTGTATAATACTGCACAACAGACATTTCTGTATTTCCTCCACCTCTAGCCACAGTAGTTTTGGTTCCATAGACATGCAGGAATAATGAAAAACGAGCCCAAAGTGAGTAAAACTGTGACACTCAGAAATTTCTCAGGGTTAAAAGGCTTTATAAAAGTCAATAAAACACGAACGGCTGACTCCTTTTCCTTTAGAAATCACACTCTTATATGCACGAGAATCAGCTGAATAGTTTACATCTGAATCTTTAAGACAAAGATTTTAAAAAGTACTTGCTGGCATGTTTCTCAAATTCAAGCTCAAGTTTTTGTTAATTTCATGACAACCACAATTTGAGTCAGTCTGCACAAACAGAATATGCTAGTCTTAATAAATACTACATACTGGTTCTTTAAAGAACTACAAAATAATCCACAAAAAAAAAATCAGATTACAGTTTATTTCTCTACCTACATGTGTTATCCCCAATGACCTATGACCATTTCCAAACTATTTAAACAAATCAATGTACCAAGGTCCAAGGTCTTGTGACATGTTTTCAATTTCCATTTTTAAAGGGAGAACAGACAAGCTCAAGTAAAGCAGGTTAGTGGACCTTTAAAATTACACTACTTCAAACCAGGAGGGCTACTGGAATACACAAAACTCCACAGGCTGAACAAAACCTAACAGGAAGTGTCTGCATTTGAAATTTTTAATGTCACAAACTCAAACTGAATGTGCTCACCTTGAGGCAGAGCTCGACACAGAAGGCGGTGACGGCGAAGAGCCACGTGTTGAGGGCGTAGTGGTGCCAGAGGGCGTAGCTGAGCGCCACGGGGAGCACGAAGAGCGCAAGCGACACCAGCAGGACCGGGAAATGGCGGCGAAAAGAGGAGACATGGGAAGCGCTGAGGGACATCAGGACAGGGTCGGTCATGCCGTGAATGAAGTGCAGGATGGCGGTCAGCAGAAGGCACATGTTCCGGCTCAGACGGACCTTTGGATCAAAGTGACAGAGACTCTCAATTACTGATACATTTATGTAGTTAGGACCTGTCCAGGGTGTCCCCTGCCTTCGCCCTAAGTCGGCTGGGATAGGCTCCAGCCCCCCCGCGACCCTAGTGAGGATTAAGCGGTGTATAGATGATGGATGGATGGATTTATGTAGTTAGGCAGGTGCAAGATGTGCAGAAACAATGTTTAGAGTGGTTTGGAGTTGGGCTGCAACTTCTGATCATTTTCATTGTCAATAACACAATGAAATCAAAACTCTAATGTCTCCATGGGAAAAGCGAAATCTCAGCACCAGTGGTCAATGTATTTAAATGGCACTAACATGCGCTACACTCAGACTCAACATAAGCTTTACTTCATGCGATGTAGGGCTCCACCTGATGATTGTTTTTACTGTCAATTAATCTGGTGATCATTGTCTTGATTTATATATTAGTCATGTGGTCTCTAAAATGTGAGGAAATGTTGGAAAATGTTCAAATAATTGATCCCAAAAGCCAAGATTTTGTTCTCAAATGTCTTGTTTTGTCCACAACACAAAGTCATTAAATTTACTCACACATAGGACCAAAAAGCATATTTAACAAGTTGGAATCAGACTTTAGACTTTTTTGACTTAAAAAAAACTCTAACCAATTCCTTGTTTTTCAGAATAATTAATAAAAAAAAAAACTCTAACCAATTCCTTGTTTTTCAGAATAATTAATAATTAACAATAATTAAATTAATCATTTAATAGTTGAAAACTAATCGAATAATCAAATAATAATATCAGCTCTAGCTTGGTGGGGCAAGATGCACAAAGTCACATTGATAATCATAATGGCAAAAGTCAAGTAAAGCAGTCTAACAAATAAAAATGCTAAAGGTTTAGAAACCCAGTAAATATCCATTATCCTTCTAAACATCCACAGTAATCAATCTGTCCGTCCAGTGGGAAGCTACAGCAACTTACCAAGCGTTCCTCAGGGTCCAGGCTGCTGAGGCCGGTCTGCAGAGCCAGGATGAAGAACAGAACAGGAGCCACGAAGCCTAAACGCTTGTCCTCCTCCTCCGTCGAACCTGAGGGTCAAAAAACAAACAAAAAAAACACTCAACTCTCGGTACATTGTCACAGTTTGTACGCAGACTTACTGTGCAACACACAAACTCGGTCCTACCTATGAAAGCCAGGATGCTGAGGCCGAGGTAGTGTGCAACAGAGGAGATGACGGCGCTCATCCCCAGCACGGTGAGGGTGGAATCACAGCCAGAGATGATCAGGTTACTGGTCAGATCCCAGAACACGTCCCAGCTCAGCAGGTAACCCTGAAAAACAGTACAGGCACACAGGCACGCATGTTACTTGTACTTATACTCCTTTTCCTCTTCAAGTTCAGATTATAGCCCTGGATTATACTGCAATCAGGCAATGTGTCCACCAGCTGCTGGTCACATTTCCCTTTATGTTTTGTATTAAATAAGTTTCTGCAGGTACATTTTTAAAGACCTTTTTATCTCCAAACAAAATGTCAGTTCACACTTAACAATCAAAGATAAACTTGTCAAAAAACAATGGAAAACAATAAACAAAACTATCAAGTATATACATTTCATGACATCTATAAGACGTATATTAAAGATTCCAAATAATCATAAATTGATTATTCATTTATCTCTGATCTGAAAGTCGCATAAATTGATGGTTAGATAATACACAATTTATGATTTTGCTTAAATTCATTCTTGCCAATTATGAGATAATGAATTACAAAAAAAAACACTGCATAACAAATGTTGCAGCCAACAGGCAAAAAAAATATTCTAAACCTTTGAAATTTACAACTTTTAATGTGTTTTTTTTTTCTCTCTCAAGGAACAGAATTCCGTGCATACTTGTGCATCCGAGCTTCCGTCTGTGGCGCCTCCTGTAGCATCTCCGCTCTCCCTTCTCACCGCCCGGACTACGTAGACCAGTATCAGCGCCTGGGCAGTGACCCGGGTCAGCCAGAACACTCGCAGCACATCGGGGAACCTGATCCTCTTCCACGTGTCCTCTAGCAGCAGCTGAAGTCCATAGATCCTGTACATGTGCCGTACAAGCAGGTAGACATACCGGCATGAGTAGTAGAACCATTTGAGTCTCATGGCCAGGCAAACGGCCGTGTTGAGGGCCAGCGCCAGGCCCGAGAACACCGCCACCAGCTGCCTGACGTCCGCAGGAAGCTCGATCATCAGCCCCCACAGAGGGATCATGATGTCCAGGACGACCAGTGCGGCAAACACCGACTGGAGGTTTAGCAGGAACACGTAGCCGACGCCGAAGACGAGCTGGACCGCCGCCATGCCCAGCCACAACGTCGGCCCGTTTCGAGGCAGCAGCCTGAAGCCCAACGCTGCTTTGTAGTAGGCGCTGTAGAAGTCTATGTGGGAGGTGGCGTAGTAGTTTATGAGGACTGCTGCCATGCCGAGGAGAACAGCAAAGAAGAGGGTGTAGAACTTGAACAAGGCTTTCTGGGAGAGCAGCAGCACCACACTGGAGATGAGGACACCTGGGAGACACATTGACGAAATAGTAATTTCGTTAATCCTTGCTGCACAAAGTAGAACATGAATGAAAGAAAATATCTGACTGTAGCTGTAAGTTTGTCTGATTCGAAAGTTCACTAAAAAAAGCCAACATCATTAAATGTTGCTCATTTTCAGGTTAGGAATGTGAACGTAGTAGTGGGAGAGAGAATGAGACAAACCACCAAAACATAAACAAGATTAGGAGGAAAATAATCAGCTTGGAGCACAATAATCCTGACGAGTCAACGGCAGGACAAGAAATGGGGCAAAGCAAGCAAAAACATTTTCTCAGACATAACATGCAGGTGTTTAGTTTCAGATCATTGTCACACAAGTAAAGCGCAAATCAGACAGACGAATACAGAAAAAAAAAATTGGCACGAGTTAAAAATGAGCTGCCATGAGATTAAAGATCTAAGCCCCTAGAACTAAATGGATAAAATAAACGCCTGAGCCTTTACTGGGAAAGGAATGCTACACATAAACAGCATGCAGTCGTAAACAAGCACCATAATAGCACAAATACTGATTGGCTTTGAATGAGTTGAACCAATCAGGTGATTGCTTCCCTACAGTGGTGTCACCATGGCAAAAAAGTGAAAAAGTTGCATGAAATGTCCTAAACTTTGTGTCCTGTTGTATATTTCTGTGAAGACTTTATTAAAAGGTACATAAATGGTGGTTCATTATAAATGTCCACATCATTTCAGTTTATCACAGATGTACTAAGGTAGGATTAAGCTGAGACTTTTATTCAAACACTTTAAATCTTGTGCACAAAATGGCAAAACGTGAAAGCAGGATTTTCACTATGTCTGCATGTGTAAACAGGTAAAAACACATTTTCTTGTTTTTGATGTTTTCATTGACAAGAAAGCTGCAACAAAACTTGCTCCTAAACAGTCACATAAAACGTATTATTAAGAACTTAATAAACATCATTCACCAAACAGAGGAGCAGCAATTAAACAATACAAAAGTTGAAACTTATATAATTTCGGCATATAAATCAGTATACTAAAGTGGACTGTCTCGTTATCACGTGGCCCTTTCAATACATAGTTTGACAACAAATTGTGAAAAGAGTTTTTGTGGATGCCTTCACATGAATTTACTCACACACATTGAATCCGATCTCATCTTTAGAAACGAGCACGCAGAGAAGACAGTAATTCTCAAACACACTTTTTAGCATTGTGGTGTGAATCACTTTTAATGTCTTGTTTTCAGTTTAAATTCAAGTAAACCTGACACTACGCTGGCTTTTTGTGCTGCTACTAAACATAAAAGAGTGTAGATTAAAGAAACATGAGATCCGACTGTTGGCTGACCCACTTTAAAGGAACCTTATTTGGCCCCCTGCCTTTCCAAACCTAAGCTCTGCTAACACCAGGAGCACTGTCAGAGGGCCTGATCTGCTCAAAGGTCTACAAACTGTAAAACCTGAGAGTTATGTAACCTGCGTGTTGACTCCAAGAGAGAAGAACAGATTAGGTGTTTTCTTGAATAGCGACCTTCTGCCAGACTGGAAAAATGCAGACAAGCCCTAAGCATATTGACTTTGGCATCACTGCTTTTGAAATGATGAAAAAAATTGAATTACATTTTCATCGATTACGGTAAATAAAATCAACTGAAATTTTACTTTTTGTAATGTAGGGCTGCAACTAATCACTATTTGTATTGTTGAATATTTTCTAGATTAATCAACTAGTTTTGTGGTCTAAAAAATGTCAGAAAATTCTGACAAATGTGGGTCAGTGTTTCTCACAGCACAAGATGACCTCCTCAAATGCCTTGTTTTGTCATCAACCCAAAGACATTCAGTTTACTGTCACTGAGGAGCAAAAAACCCAGAAAATATATAAATGAAAGAAGCTGAAATCAAAGAACCTTTTTTTGTTTAAAAAAAAAAAAAGACTCATACTGATTAATCAAATATTGAAACAGTTGGTTATTATTAAGCTGACTGATTGTTGCAGGTGGTGTGGTAATTGGATTGACTGATTGATTTGTCCATCAACTGTCACTAAGTATCATCAGTAATTAAGACAATGAGCTAATTGCTTAAGTAATTATTAAGCAAAAACTTGTGCTGATCAGACAAAAGACACTTAAGTGTCAAGCTGGGGTCTGAGATACTGCAAAGAACCTCATCTTTATGATTGATCAATTAATAAGAATACAATTTTCAAAATAAGTTAGTTGCAGCCCTAAATTTAGTCTCTAAATAAATGTATGCCATCCTTTTATGTCAAGCGCTACACAAATAAAGTTTTAAACTACTTTATAACTAGCTAACTATTCTCTCATTTAGGTTAGTTACTTTTCAAACAACAATGCTGTTTGAGAGGCTCACATCAGTCTCTGTCTGGACTCAAATTATCAAAACCTATGCATTTGATTACCTGTAACACTAATAATCTGATTGACAGTGGTTAATACTGCAGTATTTATTTTGTCTTACCCCCATATCTAAACTGAGTCTTACACAGAGTAGGTCAGCAAAATGCAGTCACACTGCGTGGAGTGTAATGTGAATTTAACTGAAAGAAATCCTGCTAGAACTTTTTTTGCTGCTTGATACAAACAGAAAATGTGCACAATTCTCATTATCTATAACTGATCAACAAGAAGTCATTTGTATGATATACTTTGACTTCAGGGTTCTTAGATATCACTTTGGTTGCAATGCATGAGATATGTTGCTGTGTAGGCTTCACATGTGCACAGCAAAAGGGACAGTAGTGAAACAGTGAAAAGGAGAATTTAGTTGCAATGTTAAATGCAAGAAAATATTTTGGCAACAGAACCAAATCCAGTACCCTGTCTGCAGTGTCTTGCCACCACTTAAGACAACACAACTCATTTGTTTGGTCATTGAAGTCATAACCACAAAGCTCTACATGACGAGTGCAAAACCAGATCTGAAAACCATTCAAACAAAAAACTATTTTGAATGCTGATGACAGTAACAACATATGAGGTTCCAGCATTTCTCAGCTTTCCTGAAGTTTTTCTTTTTCTTTTTTAAACAGATGCACTCCTTTACGAAATCACCTTAATCACACCCGACTTATCAATTCTTTCAACAACAACAAAAAAAAGTTTTTCAACTTGCTGTAAATTTCTGTATTTTTTGAATGAAATGAACATCGCAATGTTAGTTTTATGTAGCCCTAACATATCCCCATATCCTTAACATACTTCAGACAAGGTATGAGTTGTCTGAGAAAAGCTGAAGGAGCTATTCTGACAGGCAGCGTGACGGGCTACCTATTTATCCTCCACGGTTACTTTGAGGACATCTGTCTCAGCCCAGCGGGGATACAAAAAATGCCACAACACCTGTGACTGAATACAGCTAGCTAGTTAGCCAGCGAACTGACAGCGTTGTACTTGAGTGAATGAGGTTCGAGACAAACTAGAAAAGCAGTGTGTCTGTCAAATCTGCCTCGTATTTACATTATTGCAGGCAGCTAAATCGGCTTTCGCCGCTCTGACAGGTGACACAGCTCCACACTGCTGACTAACGGCTCGGCTAGCCTGTTAGCTTAGCTTGCTGCTTGTTGATAGCAGGCTGCTGCTCTTGACTCTGCACATTAAACTGCTTACCCATGACTCTGACCAGCACTTTGCCCATCGCCCCGGCCCATCCCGAACCAGGGTCGTAGTAGGAGTTAAAAATGGCGTCGATAATAAAGATACAGGGAACTCGCAGAGCCACATCCAGCACCGCTAAGGCCTGCTGGCCTATCCGGGCTTGAGTGGACGCCATACGGCTTCAGCGGAGGGCTTACAGTCCTGGTGAGCCCCGGCTATCCATGTAATGCTAAAACGGGTCCCCTCAGCAGCCGCCCCTCGTCTTTGGTTTCGCTTTGCCTGACGTTTACTTGGCAGTTGGCAACCTGCTGCCGTCCGCCATGTTCCTCCAGCGTCAACCTCCTGTTGCTTCTTCTTCTTCTGGTGTTTAATGTGGAGTTCCTGCAGCCGCCCACGCCGTTACCGCCACCAGCCGTCACACTGCGGGCTCCCCTCTCAGATCCTGTGCCGTCCGGTGTCACCAAATATACGAGAATACCTTTTAAACGGCCATTTCCTATTAGCTCCGGCCGCTTTGGGAAGACCGTAGAAGTTGCTAGGCTCTTCCGACGTAACGTGACGTAGAGAACGGCGTCAGTGGGTGTGGCATTTGACGTAACAAGCTCTATACTAAAATTTCACAACAAACAAAACTACAATTAAATACAGTTTCATTCTGACATTCCTAAAATATTTTTGTTTGTTTGTTTGTTTGTACTGTTTTCTTTTTTAAGAGTTCTTTTTGCATTTCATATTTATTGTTTTACAATATTCTTCTTAACCCTCCTATTACCTTCTAATTTACTGACATCTTTTATCCTTGGGTTCAGTTTGACCCCAGCAATTTACACCCCCAGGAAATTGTCATAATTAAAATTGTTGCCCAAGTTTATGTGTAAATAGCCCATGTGTAAATCTGACAAAATCATGTCAATAACTTATTTAGAGATGTTGACCCCAAAGATCATAGGAGGGTTAAATATGTAATATAACATATTTTAGTTTAAGTTATAGCACAAATCCAACAGAGACAAAAATGCACTGTGTCACATCTGCACTCTCTGTTTGGACATGGTTAAAAGAAAAAATGCTAGGGAACAACACTCATTACT